GAGTTATTTGTAAAAATAATGAAGGCAAGATAGACAGATCGATAGATGGACAGGCAAACAGACAAATAGATAAAGCAAGCAAGCAGTGGATCGGTCTGCTTTTTGCAGCCCTGAGGATTCCCCGACTGGAGGTATTCAAAAAAAGAATTCATTTCTATTTTGTACTTTACTTATTTCTATTGTACCTTTATTATTTTTGAAAATGACTCAAGGTGGTAAACATATTTAATACTCCTTCCTCCTATTTTCCCCACAACAACAACCCTGTCTTTGGGGCAGCCCCTGAGACATTGGGGCACTGCTATCATGTCACCCCTAGTCCTTCTTTTTATTACACTAGATGTACTCAATTCCTGCAACTGTTCTTCTTATGTTTTAGCCTCCAGTTCCCAAATCATCTTTGTTGCTCTTCTCTGTACTCTTTCTAGAGCAGTGGTTCTCAACCTTTTTAATGACGTGACCCCCAACCGGTTGTAAGTCGAGAACTAAACCAGTCGTAAGTCGAGGACTAAACCGGTCGTAAGTCAAGGACTACCCAACCAGTCGTAAGTCGAGGACTTTCCCTGCCCGGGAGCGCCGCGCATGCGTGGTTCCGCCCCCTGCACCGGCCGAGGCGTAGCTGGCAAGTGGCAGAGACGGAGCAGGCCGACCACCAGCTGGCCCAGCTCAAGGGAGGTAAGGCACCCGCCGGAAAAGGGGAAAAAAAATGGCGGACAGCCTTGCTTGGCGACCCCAGTAAAATGGTCGATCGACCCCAAATGGGGTCACGACCCATAGTTTGAGAACCGCTGTTCTAGAGTCTCAACATCTTTTTTACATCGTGGTGACCAAAACTGGATCAGTATTCCAAGTGTGGCCTTACCAAGGCACTGTAAAGTGGTATTAACACTTTATGTGATCTTGATTCTATCCCTCTGTTAATGCAGTGTGTTGGCTTTTTTGGCAGCTGCAGCACACTGCTGGCTCATATTTAAGTGATTGTCCATTAGGAAAGAGAAAGAAAAAAAGAAAGAGAGAAAGAGAGAGATAAAGGGAAAGAGAAAGAGAAAGAAGGAAAAAGAAAGAAAAAAAGAGAGAGAGACAGATTAGACACTGACCTCTATATGGTTCTGTTGTGGCACACTGACATTGACGTCCCATATCGTTGGCACCTGGTTGAGGCTGTCAGCAGGCAGGAATTCCTGAGCATCGGCAATATCCGATAGGGAGTCGGCGGGAGAGGAGAAGAGGGAATTGCTGGAGAGTTCGTTGTATGCAGAATCCTAAAGATTTAGGAGGAAAAAAAATCCAGCATTATCTATCATTCATTATAGCAACATGAGGATCATCCATATCCCTGGAACATTTCTGAAGCCGAAAGGCGAGCGATTTATTTCATAGGATCTAGAAACTCAGACTTACCTCGGTGTTTTTCAGATAGATTATACAACCCTGCTTACCCCTGTGCTGGCCACAGACGTACAGGCAGTCCTCAACTTACAACAGTTCATTTAGTGGCCGTTCAAAGTTACAAAGGCACTGAAAAAAAGTGACTTCTGACAATTTTTCACACTTTGTAGCATCCCCATGATCATATGATCAAAATTCAGATGCTTGGCAATTGGCTCCTACTTATGACCATTGCGGTGTCCCGAGGTCATTGGATCGCTTTTTGTGACCTTTTGACAAGCAAAGTCAATGGAGACGCCAGATTCACTTAACAACCGTGTTACTAACTTAACAACTGCAGTGATTCACCTAACAACTGTGGCAAGAAAGGTCGTAAAATGGGGCAAAACTCACTTAACAAATGTCTCCCTTAGCAACAGAAAATCAGGGCTTAATTGTGGTCCTAAGTCGAGGACTACCTGTAGTTGCACTTCCTAGCCCCTTCAAGGGTCCAGGTGGGGGATGGCTGATCCCTGATACTGCTATTCATTTTTTATTTGTAGTGATTTATTTATTTGAATATATTGAGCCAGTGGACTCTAATGGATTGTGAACATAGAGCAAACTACCGACAACATTTAATTATGCTCCATTCACATTTCCTGGATGAAAGCAAAGGCCCTGTCTTATGACAGGGGTGTTCAACTTCGGCAACTTTAAGACTTGTGGACTTCAACTCCCAGAATTCCACAGCTAGCATAGCTGGCTGGGGAATTCTGGGAGCTGAAATCTGCAAGTTTTAAAGTTGCCAAGGTTGGATACCTCAGATCTACAGTATATCTGGGAGCTGAATGTGCCCATCTGGGGACACACAGACACACAGACACACACACAGACACACAGAGAGAGAGAGAGATACATGTGAGATAGGGTAGGCGGAGCAGAAAACCTGAGGCAGAATGGTATGAATCAATAGTTACAAAATGTAAACAAATTAAAGCAGCAAAATTACCTCAGCAGCTTAAACACATTTAGCCTGAGGGTTTAAGCTCCATTAAGCTTAATAGGAACAAATTAAAGCCACACAATTAGCTTGAGGGCATCTGAATTCAAGAAGTAACTTTGTGCCTAGTTCAAAGCGTATCTCCTAGCATAGAACCACCAGCCATGAACCAGTTTGGTCCAGTAGCTAAGGCACCAGTCTAGAACAGGGGTCTTCAAATTTGGCCCTTTTATGACTCGTGGACTTCCACTCCCAGAATTCCTCAGCCAGCGTGCCTGGCTGAGGAATTCTGGGAGTGGAAGTCCACGAGTTATAAAAGGGCCAAGTCTGAAGACCCCTGGTCTATTTATTTATTTATTTATTTTTCCCATTTATACCCCGCCCTTCTCCCGAGGGACTCAGGGCGGCTTACAGGTAAATAAAAACAGTACAATACAATAAATATCTCTAAAAGCCAAATTAAAATATATATTAAATAACCTGTATTAAGTTTAATATTATAAAATCCCTTTAAAATCCCTATAAAATCCCCCCCTAGGCCAATCCCGCTTGATGGAAAAGCCA